AAAAGAGCATATGCCATTTGATATTTTTTATACATACAAATGTAAACACTAGAATAAAATTTATCAAGGTGTTAAAGTAGTTTCTGTGGTTATTTTGGGTAGTGGATAATAAAGTTCTTCCCTTCCTTCCCTTTTCCCCTCTTTTCCCTTCTCCTTCCTTTCCCCCCCCCCCCTTTCTCCCTTCTATTCATCTTCTTTTTCCCTGCTCATCTTCTTTGTTATTCTCAGTTTCCTCTGTTTTCCAAGCATTTGGGCTCTACTTTTATAATTTGAAGGAATACACTGTTTTGCTTTATTTTTAACTTTGTCTCATAAAGTCTGCTATTTGGATTTTCCTTAGGGAATTTAGGTAGAAAAACAAAATGTTCCTCTCTGGTATACTAAATACCTCTTTTCCTTAATGATTCCAAGTTCTCTTTCTCTATGGGTGAAGAAGAGAGAAAATTGGAGTATGAGGAACAACATTCCACTGTGTCTTTCAGAAGCAGACCTAGAAAATCATTCCACCGTGTTCATTCCTCTTCAGGAAGTGAATTATTTATATATGTATATACTAAGTTGCTTTAGTCATTTTGGACTCTGTGACCCTATGGACTGTAGCCAGCCCAAGTCTCTCTGCCCATGGGATTCCCCAGGCAAGAATAGTAGAGTGGATTGCCATGCCCTCCTGCAGAGAATCTTCCTGATCCAGGGATCAAACCCATGTGTCTTATGTCTCCTGAATTGGCAGGTAGATTCTTTATCACTAGTGCCACCTGGGAAGCCCATATATGCATGTGTGCATGCGAAGTCACTTCAGTTGTGTCCCGCTCTTTGCAACCCTATGGACTGTATCCCGCCAGGCTTCTCCGTCCATGGGATTCTCCAGGCAAGAATATTGGAGTGGGTTGCTATGCCAAGCTCCAGGGGATCTTCCTAACCCATGTCTGTCTCTTACCTCTCCTATGTTGGCAAGCAATTTCTTTACCACTAGCAGCCTCTGTAAAGCCCACATATATAATATATATGTATACACATATGAAAGTGAAAGTCTCTCAGTCATGTCTGACTCTGTGACCCTATGGACTACACAGTCTATGGAATATAGATGTATATGTATATATGTATATATACACACACACACACATGTATCAGGTGGTGCTATATATATATATATATAATATATACATGTATCAGGTAAGGAACTCTCTTGCCAAAACTGGAGACATAAGAAATGTAGGTTCGATCCCCTCTGGAAGATCCCCTGGAGGAGGGCAAGGCAACCCACTCCAGTATTCTTGCCTGGACAATCTCAGGGACAGAGGAGCCTGTCGGGCTGTAATCCATAGGGTCGAAAAGAGTCAGACATGACTGAAGTGACTTAGCATGTATGCATGTATATATAAAATATATACATACACATATTAGTTGAAGGACTGATAGAAAAACAAGTCAGATACTCGCTGTATAATTATTTAATGGTATTTAATCATTATATGTTTTTTTCCACAACAGTTACAAAGAAATTAATTTTGCCTTTATTGTGTAAAATTTAAATGATTCACAGCTTTTCTGATTTTTCATAACATTTTCTAATAAATTAACAAAACTAGCTCTTTAATTATCAAACTATAGCCTGAAAAAAATTTTCCAAGGAAGCAGAAGTAAGTCATGTTTAAAAGCCAGGACAGGAAAGGTGGTAATAGAAAAAAAATAATGCTCAGTAATGATCAAAAGCAGTTGACTATGTCAGTACTGTATCCCAATAATCAAGTGCTGGTTTTAGGGAAGGTGCACAGCTCACTGCAAATTACAAAACATTGAAAGTTGAACCTGTTAGTGGCAGAATACTGGTGATAGTGCTCATATTGTGCTAATAACTGTTTATAGCCTGATATGGAGCAGGTGGTCTGAGTCTGAGAATACTAAGCTTGCCTTGGACAAGTGAGATTTTCACAATGCTAAATATATTTTTAACCTATATGTGTGTGTGTGTGTGTATATATATATATATTTAATGAATCCTATCAGCACAATCATCATAGCTGCTTCATGTGCTTTATTTCAGGGGAAATTGAGAGTAGGATCATCATATTAACTTTGCATTTTAACTCCAATCTGCTGGTGTCCCATGGGTCCCAGATTGAAGACCAGGGGTGCTGGGCCCAGGTCTGATTCAAGTCTGAGTCTGTCTAGAGGCTGGTATGCTGTGGTTCTATTTTCACAAAACACCAGATGAATCCCATGGGAGGAAGTCATGGTAAGCAGAAGGGCAGCAGAGATGCCAGGCAGCCTTCAAGAATCCCAGCAGTGACTTGATTCAGTGTCAAGGAAAGCCACTTTCAGTGGATCAAATCTGAGGAATAAGGAACAGAATGATGGACAGGGCAGGAACATGTTTTTGGAATACCTATGACAAGTATCTGTAGGAGAGGGGGTGCCAAAGTTATGGGAAGATTGTGAGGGGTTTGATTCCTGTGGACACTGTAGAGACACACTTTTTTTGTATCCGTCATCATTACTTCGGTCTTACCCTCAGACTACTATCATCTAGAAAACATGGATTACTCTTATATCCTCTTAGAAAGAACAGAAAAGTAGTTATCAGATGGCATACAGAAAAGACACATACATGTGGGCTTCTTGTCCTTGCCTTTATAGCTATAAACACTAGGATCATTTGGAAAAAACAGCAGTTATCAGGAAATCAGTGAGCCATGATGAAAAAAAAAGCCCCTAAATAACATTTAATCTTTCAAATAAGAATTCTTCATTCCTTTTTAAAACAATATTTATTTTTATTTATTTATTTGGCTGTGCAGGGTCTTAGTTGTGACATGTTGTATCTAGTTTCCCAACCAGGGATCAAACCGAGGGCCCCGGCATTGAGAGCTCAGTCTTAGCCACTGGACCACCAGGGGAGTCCCAAATTCTTCATTCTTGAGTTGAACTGACAGATGAGGTGGCATTTAGACCGACCTATTAGACTTATACCTTTGTGGTGCTGCTGACCATCAGACACATGTGATAGAGGTGTTCTTTGGTGTTACTCTGCTTTCTTAGTCCTGCATGTTTATGTTTGCTCAATTATGGCTGAGTTGCACTAGTTTTGCAAAGAATTAGCTTCTTCCAAACTGTAAAATTTATGAGCATATTATTGTCTGTGGTACTTCATTATCCTTTTAATGACTGCTGCATAGGGAGTGATGTCACCTATCTCATTCTTGATGTTATTGATGGCTGTTTTTCACTTTCTATTTTTATCACTCTTGCCAGAGTTTTGTTGTTGCTGTTGTTTAATTACTAACTCATGTCCAACTCTTTTGAGACTCTGTGGACTATACACACCAGGCTCCTCTGTCCATGGTGTTTCCCAGGCAAGAATACTGGAGCGGGCTGCCTTTCTTCTCCACCCAGGAACTGAACCCGCCTCTCTTGTGTCTCCTGCATTGGCGGGGTGGATTCTTTACCACTGAGCCACCTGGGAAACCCTTAGTCCTGTAACTAATCACTTTTCTATCATTTATATCTGATTTGGAAAATATTTTAGAACAATCCAATAACAATTTCAAGACAAAAAATTCTACACACTTCATAGCTCCTTTCTATTACATGAATGTGTAAATTGAATTCCCTCTCAAGATGAAAAAAAAAACAAAGGTTGGCTTCCCAAAAATGTTTTCATTGGCTTTAGGGAACTAAAACGCACCAGTCTGAGTGACTAATACTTCCTGGAAAACAAAGATAGATCAACACATAATTAAGTTCTGGCTCAAATATAATTGTTGTCTTGGAAACGGTTTTGGGGATAAATATGGTTATGCTAATAAAACTTTTCATGATTTCCACCAATGATCTGGTTTATTAATTAGGCCAGACCATCTTACTATCTTAATTAAGGCTACTCTTTTTGGACTATTCAAAGGGTTAAAAAAAAGTTCCTAAGAGGACATTGAAAAGGAGGAAAAGGGCATAAACGTGACCTTCGTTATTTACCAGCGCTCAAGGTTAAACGTACTTTTTGGCACACATGTGGGTTTCAAACATCTTTCCTACTTCATTAAGCAGAAAGCAGAGTCGTATATACAGCATTTTAAACTAAGAATTCCTAGTGTTGTTTTTCTGAACCCCATCTTCGGAGGATTTCAAATGGGACGAACTCAAGAGAAACAAGCGAAAGCAAAATCCTAAGTAGCCAGGATTTTTCTGGTTCCCGCTTTCAGTAAAGAGAGTTTTGTAGGAAGTTCTCCTCCGAGTGTAGCCCGAGGGGCAGCCTGCGGGCTCCGGAGGGTGTCTGGCGGAGGCCGAGTGTGAACTCCGGGCGCGGGAGCGCATCCCGGTCTGAGATCACACCCACTCGGGGTGTGCGTGAGTGAGCGCGCGGTGGCCGCGCGCGTGTGTACGTGTGGGGAGGTGTGCGCCAAAGGGGTGGGGTGAGGGGCGGCGAGGAGGGCTCTAGGTGAAGCACGAGGCGCGGGAGCGGGAGGTCGCGCGCTCCGGCCTCTCCCCCAGGGGCCGCGGCGGCTGGCTCGCGCTCGGGCTGCCCCTCCCGGTGCGCGCCGCGGCGGCGCCACAGGCCCCTCGACCCTGTGACCACCGCCCTCCGGCCGCCTGGCCCACAGCGGGGACTGGCGATGGCGCGGGACTGACGGTCTCCTCCCTCCGGACCCTTCTGTCCCGCCCGGGGGCTCCCGGGGGCCGCGGCGCCGCCCCGATCTGCATGTGGGGCGCGCGCGCCGGCGGCCGGAGCGAGCGGCCCTCGGTGCCCCCGAGGCGGTGCCCGGCCGCGCGGGCGGACCGGGAGGAGGAGCAGCAGCAGGCCGGGCCGGGCTCCCCGCGCGCCGCCGCCCGGGAGCACGGGCTCCCTGGAGGGAGCTCGGGGCGTCCCAGCCTCGGAGGAGGGACCCGGAAGCAGAAGCGGAGCCCCGAGTCGAGCCGAGCCGCTGCCCCCGCTGCCCGCCGGCGCCGGGTGGGGGTCCCGGCGGCTGGATGGGCAGCGGCGGCTCGGGCCGCGGGCGGCGATGGGCGAGGAGCAGAGCACGGTGAGCGGCGGCGGCGGGCCCCTGGAGGCGCGGACCCCCGCTGGCGGCGCCGCGGGCCCCCCGGAGCCCCCGAGGCCGCCGGGGCACAGCGCCGGGGTGCCCGGGCCGCGCGCCGCCTCCTCCGAGCCGAGCGGCGGCGGCTGCGGAAGCGACTCCGGTTGCGAGGACGCCGGAGCCCCGGAACCCGCGGGGATCCGGGGGGCCCCGAACTGGAGCAAGAGCCGGGCACCCGGGCAGCCCGCGGGACTGGCCCTCCCCGGGCCCCTCAACCCCCAGGCTTTGCAAAAGCAGCTGGCCGAGGAGGAGGAGGAGGAAACGGGGGAGCGAAAAGAGAGAGGGGATGAACAGCAGGAGGCGCCCCCCGGCGAGGAGCTTGAGCCCCCGACCCGCGTCCGCGTCGGGGCCCCGGACGGACTGGTCTTGGACGTGCTGGGCCCGCGGCGCCCGCCCCCGGCCAAGAGACAAGTGTTCTGCTCCGTGTTCTGCGTGGAGAACGACCTGCCCGAGGTGCCCTCGGCGGAGCGGCTGTCGCTGCCCGCGTCGCCACCTCGGGCTCCGCCGGTGACCAACCCTCCCGGCACCCCCTCCTCCTTCCCCAGCCCCCAGCTGTCGCTCCCAGCGGACCCCTTGTCCCCCGACGGCGGCAGCATCGAGCTGGAGTTCTACCTGGCGCCCGAGCCTTTCTCCGTGCCCAGCCTGCTGGGAGCCCCACCCTACTCCGACCTGGGTGGGGTCGGGGATCCCTTTGCGCCCCTCATGGTGCTGATGTGCCGGGTGTGCCTGGAAGACAAGCCCATCAAGCCCCTGCCTTGCTGCAAGAAGGCCGTGTGCGAGGAGTGCCTCAAAGTCTACCTGAGCTCCCAGGTAACCTCAGCCCCTCCGAGCCTCCTCTGTTCCCCATTCAGCTTTCCAAATCCGTGGCCAGGAAATCCCGCTCGCCCGCTCCCTGCTCACAGGAAGAGCTGATGAGCACCCTTACCGAGGACCTCTATCAGTGTCTTACATCTCGGTTGTTGCCCTTAGAATATTTAAGTGTGTTTGTCTTCGTGGGTTAGTTCGACTGGAATTTAACTCTGGGTGAGCTTTGGGCTTTGATTGCCCGCCATAGAAGGAACAGGGTATGAATGCATTGCCCTCTGCTATTTCTTTTATTAAATTGCGAGCATGGAGCTTGCTCAAAGAGGAGGGCAGTTGAGCGTGGTTCAGAGGCCTGGTATTCCAGAAACTGACAAATAGTGGGCAGAAAATAAATATGTATTGAGTTCGTGGAGAGAAGGGCTGCAATGAGTGATTCCTGAATTTGAAATTTTGCTACTTTCAAATAATCCAGAGAAAAGTGTTATGAACTATGTATTCCTTGCCCCTGGGTCACTTTTCAGTTTCTTTTTCCACAGTAAAGTTGAAGTACTTTTACTCACTGAAGTTTTAAGCCAGCAGAATGCTTTATTTCTTTAAGAGGGAGCAAAACAGAAAAAGCCAAAGCGAAGCAAGGCTAAGAGGCTTAACAAAACAAGCGCTGGTGAAACTTTCCTCCTTGGTTGCTTATTTGAAAGCTTGTTTTTTTTCTTGGAAAGTTGGAAGAGTGCAGTTGACCCGCTTTCCTTCCCTGATGGTGAATGCGTCCTTCTGGCAGTTTTCAGTCTGTTATGTTTCTGCCAGTGTTTTGCACAATCCGGAATGCCCTTTGATCCCATGTCTGATTGTCCTGGGCCTATTCATCTTTCCAAACCCTGGGCTGTTCAGGTGCCAACTTCTCTGTGAAGCCTTCCCTCACCCTCCAGGCCACGGCTTATATACTTGCAAACACTTCTGCGTGTCTTGCATGCACTGAAGTTGTTCCACATGTCTGTTTGTCTGACTAGACAGCGTCTTAGAGCCTCTGTTGTCTGGTAGATTCATGTTGGTATCCTTCCTCGTAGCAGTGTTTAATAACTTTGGCCGAAGGGAAACTAAACAGGATTTCACACCGAGCAGTTCCTCTGTATATTGTGGCTAATCTGTGCTTGTGTCTAGACTGAAAGTGTGTACCCTGCCCAATGGAAAACGCAAAGGGGAATTTAGACGGAATGGAATGTTACACAAGCAGTGACTTGGCCAAGATGGTTGAGATTATCCAAGCGCCTGTGAGAGACTGTGATGTCTCTTTCCTGCTTTATCCGCGAACAGATACTTCAAACGGGGAAAGCCCGCTTCTCACTGTGGCAGTTTCTAGGATGTCACTGTCAGACAATCAAGCAGATAGCCATGGGCAAAGCCCTGTGGTGGGATTCAGACACTCCCAAGCTATGGGCTCTACTCCAAGGAAGCTCCCTTGTGTGTATACAAGATGTATACACACGAACAGTACAAGGTGGTATATGATGAGGTGTAAAGAGTGACAATATCATGTAGCTCTTAAGGACTGAATATAAATACAGTGTGGGTTTAGAGGTTCAAGGGAGGTGGTCATTAGAAGTTGGGGTACTCTGCTTTGTGCTTTGATTTCCTTCAGCATTTCCCTTTCCTGAAAGCAAACTTTTTTTTGCCTGCAAAATCTGCTCTGTGTTAATTCTAAGGTCCCTTCTATGGCAAAGACTCTGTTTCCACGTCATTTAACTTTTCTGTGTCTTATTTCCTCGTCAATGAAATGGAATTACAGACCATGCTCTGTAATGACACACCAGTTCTAAAGCAAAACAAAATCAAGCTGCAGAGCTGTTTGGTTGCCTCACTGAACCAGATCAAAAGGGCATAAAGAGTGCCCTCTTTCTCATTTCCTAAGGTTTCTTGATTTTGACAGTAGTAAATCTGTCAAGCTTGAACTTGCAGGCGTCTTAAGCCTTTTTAAACTAAAGTGATATATTTGAAATAAAAAGTTAATAGTCACTTTTGTCATCATCTTTTGGATTTGTGCCAAATACTTAGTGTATTAGTTAGTATCATTTAAGAAAATAAAGCAGAGTCCCTATTAAGCATTTTATGCAGTCATTAAAAATGCATACTAAATGTGAGCTGGAATATTGCCTGGTTAAATAATATTCTTCTAAAAGGAGCTGATGAATTCTTTGGAAGCAGGTACAAAGTTGGAAGACAGGAATGCAAATTTTTAGATGATAAGTCTTATTTCCATTAGTGCCATGGACTGAATTTGTGGCAAAGGCCAGCGGGTAGGTGTCTTCATTATTTCAGTGTACTTCAGTGTATTTCAGTATATTGGGTGGTGACTTAAATACCTCTGTGCGTGCTCAGTTCATCAGTTATGTCTGACTCTTTGCGAGCTCGTGGACTGTAGCCTCCCAGAGTCCTCTGCCCCTGGGATTCTTCAAGCAAGAATACTGGAGTGGGTTGCCATGCCCTCTCCAGGGGATCTTCCCAACCCAAGGGTTGAACCCATCTTGCCTGTGTTTCCTGCATTGGCAGATGGATTATTTACCCCTGAGCCATCTGGGAAACCCAAATACCTCTATGTGCAAGCATGCATGCTCAATCTTTTAAGTCATGTCTGACTCTTTGTAACTCTTCGGACCATAGCCCACCAGAGTCCTCTGTCCGTGGGATTCTCCAGGCAAGAATATTGGAATGGGTTGCCATGGCCTCCCCCAGGGGATCTTCTGGACCAAGGGGTTGAACCAGTGTCTCTTAGGTCTTCTGCATTGGCAGGTGGGTTGTTTACCACTAGCATCACCTGGGAAGCCCAAATTCCTCTATATTGTGGTTTAAAAATAATAGTTTTAGTTTTTCAAAGCAGTGATTTGAAAAACTAAAAGTAGTTTTTCTTTAGTGATAAGAATTCTTCTTCAGTTATCACTGTGCCTGGGAACTGTGCAGAATCCTTCTTAGTGGAATGACTTTACTGGCCAACAGATAGCATTTGCTGTGGTGAAGTATTGAACTGGTACATTATAATCTTTGGCACACATACATAGGGGTCGATTTAGAGGCCCTAGAGCACCATGACGCAGACAGTGGGAGTTTAACTGGTTTGTGTTGCATGAGTACATAAATCTTTGGTGCATAAACCTCAGAGGTCCATTGCCAATGGCCTGTGTGCACACGTATGAGGTGGCTTAGAGCATGCAGTCCCAGGGATGTCTGCAGTCTCCTTCAGGGCACTGAGCCATTCTGAGAACTGACCTCAGATGGTTTGGCCTTTACCCCACTTTCCTAGGAGGAAGGATTGTTACTTTCCTTGTTTCATAGAATGATACCACACTCATTTCAAAAATTCTCCGCAGGTATCTTTCCTTTATGATTTTGATTGGGGATGGTAAAATCTGGTAGGATGTGAAATACTAATATTTAGCATTTTATATAAAGGAAAGAGAGAATTGGGCATGCTAAGGGCTTTCTAAAGGTAACAGCTGCTGTGACTTTCATCAGTCTGCTTCAAAGTGCTTGTGATGGCGCATGCATATGAATTGGAATGTATACACCTGTCAGATGAGTATTAATAGAGACAAGCAACATTTCTTCGGCAGTTTGTGAACAAAACAACTGCTAGATGATAATGTCCTGAAATGACTGTCTACTGTAGTCATCCTAGAACCGGTGACCTAGGGGTGAAAGCTTCTAGACCCTTCTATTAAACTCTGAATCATCCAGACCTTTGTGGGTAAAAGTGTAGCCTGTGTTTTCCCTTTAAATCTGAAAGCAACCTGTATATTTTTAGAAACTGGCCTGTTCAAGATGGAGTTTGCCATCAGCCACCTTCACAGGTGAATTTACAGATCCTCTCACGCCAGGTGTGATTTTGGTAGTCTTGAAAATGTGAAGATTAAAAGAGACTCAACTCTTGTTACATCACTCTGCGAAGTTAAAAAGTGAGAATTCCGGCATATGTAAACTTCTCCTGGGTACAGTGTGTGTGCGTGTGTGTGTGGTGTGTATTTTGGAGCTGTGGTTAACGTTCACTTTCACACCTTCCTGACTCATGCACTTCTTTTCCTCTTCTGACTCTTTAATGCTGTCTCTTTTAATAATTTTTTCTTTCCCCTTAATAATTTCTTTCTTTTTCCTCTTACTTTTCAAAATTTGATTTTAAATAGCACTTGAGTCCTGCGGAGGAGTCGGTCCCCTGTGAGGGGCTCCTCGCTGGGCCCTCAGGACCTGGTGCAGGCGGTGTCTGGGCGTCTTCCTTCTCGCGTCTTCAGGGTCTCAGATAACTTGACTAGTACTGCTTCCCTCAGGTGTCACCTTTGGAGTAGTGATTTTTTTTTTTTCTCCTAGCTCGGCTTTTTATACTTAAGGCTGTTCCTTACTCCTCATGTGAGAGACAGAAAAAGAACATTGAGCTCCCAGCTTTTCCTTAAGCGTTGGTGATGGGGATGTGGACAGATACCTGAGTCATAATTTGTTATAATTAGCATTTTCATTTGTTAATATACAATTTACACATAGAACAAATATTTATTGGCTACCTGTATGTCAGGGACCTTGAGAGACTTTTTAAATGTGTTAAATGCCCCAAGGAAGTGGCCCAGAGCCTCCTTACAGTGTTTCCTCCAAGCTTTATCTGGTGGCATAAATGAGCTCTCCTTTAATTTCTCAGACAAGTGTGGCTCTCCTCTTCTTTTTCCTTTCTGGGAGGATTTTATTAAGCAGGTTCTGGAACACCAGCTAACTTTTTAGTAAACGTGTTACTATTCCTCCTCTTTTGTGTTTATCTCAAAGTAATAAGAAACATCATTGTAATAAGTTATTATTATAATTAAATTTTCTTAACATATTTCTTAGAGCTCTTTGTAATTGTTGTAAATAGAATATTAGTTAATACTTTGCGTCTTTCAAAATTTTTATTACTTTTGCGCTTTTGCAAAAAAATATTCAAAAGAAAACATTTGCTAACTGTGTTTGGATCATTCATAAAAATATGGCCAATCTTTAAA